GAATTGAAATGTTACACTTTTCACTTTAATCACTACTAAAATGTGTATTTATTGTATCTAATAGGTACAATTTATATTTACAGAGACTGTATACAATTTATTTCTTCATTCAGATTAACACTGTTTATTGGAAAACCTGTAAAAACTCAACCCAGGATTTCCTCTCTAAATACACCATACAACACAACAAATCAATCCACGGTTTTTTTTCCGATATTTTTTAACATTTTCCGGCTTTATTCTCAAAAACACTCGTTTGTAACCTAAGCATTTGACAGCTGATTATTAAAAGTTCTACTTTTGTTACGATGATAACAGCCGAGTGGTGGCACTACTAGCGATACTTCTTTAGCGTATTGTGCTTGAAAAAAAATTAAAAATCGGTCAACGCGTTCCAAAATAATGGGAAGTTGCGATCTTAAATCGCACACACTGTATGTAGATGTGTCGGAAATATTTTATTTTATTATTTTTACTTTTTTTGCTAATCTAAATGCAGTTATTTTAAAACTTATAATATTATTTTTAAAAGGTTATTTACCCAATAAATATTTAATTTAATCGTTTTGATTTAAATATGTAGATATATCTAATGTGGGACTATCTAAAGTGGGACTTCTGTATGTGCAGCATATATGCTGCACATACAGAAGTCCCACTTTGACATTAGAATACAAATAATTAAGGACATATAGGTCTGTCAGTTTAAAGCCAAATTTGTCTTATTTTCCGAAATAACACAACCTATTTTTTGTGTATAAAGGTCTTAATTTGTACAAGAGAAAATATTTATTGTGAATAGAACAAAGGTTCAGATATTGTGCAATATATATGTAAACTTTTATAAGCCAGTAGCGTAACAAAGTCTTGGTAATAAAGGCTGACTCCCCACCTAGTGCTGACGCCATCGGTGTACACTGGAGTAGGTACACAACTCAAAATCTATAAATTATTCAAGAATTTCAGTGAGTTATGTGGTCAAAAAAATCAAATGAATAGCTACGGTAGGTAGTTTTTCAGATATAAAAAAAATTCAACACCTTGTATCTTTTTGCAGAATTTTTGATCCACTTGTAATAGATCACCCTGTATAAATAAATATTCTAAGAAATTAACTCGAAAACTTCTTATCGGAAAAATAACCCCCCTACGACGCGTATACCGTGGGCGCACCATTTTTGGGGCACCCTGTATATTTGATAATAATATAAATAAACTGAATTACTTAATAGGTTTATAAATACTCAATTATTGACATTATTATTAACACATTAGAATTTCTAAATACTACTAATTATTATTAAAGTAGCTAAATGTCACACTTCGACATTTGAAAACAAATAATCCCACACGGAACAATTACATCCAATGGATATCCAATGGATTTCTTTTATGGATATCCAGGATATACATAGGATATCCGGGATATCCAATGGATAACCATTGGATATATAAATGTCCGACCCTCCTGGACATAGTGTGGATATCCAATGGATACCCAGTGGATATAGTATTGTATGCAATATGGTTGTAATCTGTATTCAATATGGAGATTGTATGGATATCCAATGGATAACCACTGGATATATAAATGTCCGACCCTCCTGGACATAGTGTGGATATCCAATGGATACCCAGTGGATATAGTATTGTATGCAATATGGTTGTCATCTGTATTGGATATGGTGAATCAATGGATATTTACTTTTCAATAAATAACATTGGGTTTTAAAATAAAAGTCTTATTCTTTAATTTAAATATTTATTTTTATGAAAACATAAAATAGAACAGAAAACTACATATAACTAAAGAAGTGAAGTCTCTGGCTTGCCATCACTCCTCCAGCTGTCATTTGCCTTTTTATCAGCCTAATCATTTAGGGCCTATTTCACCTGTCTCCTTATGATCCCCAAAATTTGGCCAATCCATCAGCCCATTTGTTACCCTCGAGCCTATGTAGGTATAGCTTGCAAATAAAGGTACACTATATAAATGCATGCATGTACCTATTCACCTTTAATGTTTTACCTTCAATGCTAACCGAAAGTTTATAAATTGCACTTAAATATAGGTACATATTTAATTTAAAATTGTATTAGTTTTAGACCAATACAATTTAAAATGATAACTATGATTAGAAAATTAATAAAATATTCACTTACCACTATAGACCTCAAACAAATAACCACAAAAACAATAACTTGGCAATAAACTTTATGAAAAACATATAACAAATAGCAATGATGGCGAATGAACCTTTACAATCTGTGGGATGAAGCAAATAAACATGAAAACCCTTTGCATGTACCTAACAATCATGGCATCATATTTAACGGACGCTACCATAGAAAAAGGACGCTTCTTTATCTTCTGCGGCAGTGTTGTCAGACGTTTAAATAATTTCAGAAAGCTCATCAAAATGGCGGTTATATTATTAAATCTTTAATACTTAATTAATTAGTATACCTAGTATACCTATTTAACATAAATGTGGTGAGTAATTATTTTAAATTTATTTAATTTATTTATTAAAACTTAATAAAGTACGGAAATATATTTCGTTTAGTTATTTTGCTTATAACCGGCAACACTGAAGATTCTCAAATTTAGCGCGTGCGTAGTACTATGAAATACAATAATAAACAAAAGGGACTTTTTTAAGTAATTTTTTATTGTAGACTGTCATAGTCATATTATTAACAGAAATAATATTATTAATATATAAATATTATTATCTGGGTAAAGTGAACATTTCAAAATTAAAAATTTCGTAGCTCTTGGCAAAAAATCAATTTACCGTAAAATTGTTTTTTTTACATATGCTAGTTTAAACCATCACAAAATCCCACATGTATACATACAAGTATATATACAAGATATCCATATCAGTTATCCATCGGATATCCAGTGGATATCCAGTGGATATACATTAGATGTACAGTGGATATACTTTGGACATACATTAGTTATCCATTGGATATATATTAGAGATACTTTGTTGAAATTGGGTTAATAACGATTTAAATCATATTTATTAATCATTACATAAATTTATCCTATAAGGGGCTATTTTAAAAAAGAAAAATATATTTTTAATGTTTTTGTTTTTTTTTGAACATCCTGTATGGATATCCATTGGATATCCAGTGGATATCCAGTGGATATACATTAGATGTACAGTGGATATACTTTGGACATGCATTAGTTATCCATTGGATATATATTAGAGATACTTTGTTGAAATTGGGTTATTAACGATTTAAATCATATTTATTAATCATAACATAAATTTATCCTATAAGGGGCTATTTTAAAAAAGAAAAAAATATTTTTAATGTTTTTGTTTTTTTTTGAACATCCAGTATGGATATCCATTGGATATCCAGTGGATATCCAGTGGATATATATTAGATGTACAGTGGATATACTTTGGACATACATTAGTTATCCATTGGATATATATTAGAGATACTTTGTTGAAATTGGGTTAATAACGATTTAAATCATATTTATTAATCATAACATAAATTTATCCTATAAGGGGCTATTTTAAAAAAGAAAAAAATATTTTTAATGTTTTTGTTTTTTTTTTGAACATCCAGTATGGATATCCATTGGATATCCAGTGGATATCCAGTGGATATACATTAGATGTACAGTGGATATACTTTGGACATACATTAGTTATCCATTGGATATATATTAGAGATACTTTGTTGAAATTGGGTTAATAACGATTTAAATCATATTTATTAATCATTACATAAATTTATCCTATAAGGGGCTATTTTAAAAAAGAAAAAAATATTTTTAATGTTTTTGTTTTTTTTTGAACATCTAGTATGGATATCCATTGGATATCCAATGGATATCGTAAAAGGCATGGATGTTATATGGACATTGGGATAGCCATTGGATATCCATTGGATAGCGTGTTCTGTGTGGGATTGAGGTCATGTATCTGCCAGTTTAACGCTAATTTCGTTTTATTTACTGAAAATAATAAAATATACGTACCTATGTATTTCTTTGTAAAATAAAGGTATTAATTAAAAACACAAAATAAAAATATATTATATATTATTTTCGGAACATAAGACGAAATTAGCGCTAAACTTACAAATAACCTCAATTATTTATACTCAAATGCCAAGGAAGGACTTTTTGTGGAGCATAGTACCTACATATATTTTTATACGAACAAAATAAGTAGGTAATTCAATTTCACTGAGACAAAGACCACATAGGTATTTATTTACTTTTAATATCAGTGAAAGTTTTATTAAAAAAAGTCAACAAAATTAAAAAGGTAGCCACAAAAACGCTTGTGGCCATGGGATGGTTTAGAATCTAAACTAATTAAAAATCGATTAGTAAAAAATTCAACGTCTACCTCTGTCCTGTCTAAAACCTAAAGAATTTCGTTTTCTGATCGAGCGTTTACATCTTTTCTAGACTCTAGTCTTTCTTTATTGGAAGCTTGAATATAACTAGTTATAGGTAAGAAAATATGTCAGTAGACCAGAATATATTAAAAATTAATACAAGAAAATTGTTCAATGAAAATATTGTATCTGATTAAATTGATATTGAATAAAATCTATTTGAAACATAATACAAATGTTTAGTACTTAACTTTTTATTAATTATTTGTTAGGTATCTAACAATTTTGGTTTCATTTGCATTTTTACCTATATACCTGGGTTGTGAATTGCCAGTAGGTATAAGGTTAAACATAGTTTCGATTTTGATCAAAAACGTTCCTTCCGCATAACTTAAATTCCTTGTTCATAAAGGTTATTTACACTTGTTGATAGGTTCCAAAATTGTTAAGGCTATTATTTAATAATTATATATTTAATACTTAAACTGTATGTAAACTATAGTATATATATACATGCCGTCTACGTTAGTAGATAAACAACAATAAATAAAGTATATCTACTGTAGATAAAGAACGTTAAAATAAGTAAATAGGTAAATAACAAAATTACTTACTTTGCTATTAAGTATATCCATATCTGCATAAATAGTAAAATTTGACTTCTTCTCTTCGTTGTTTAAACTACTGCTGCTGATGGTTTTGTGTTTCATTTCATTAACTTTTAAGTACAGATTAAGTACTCACTTAACACCGTTAATTTCGAATTAACTTTAGCTTAAACGCAGTCACATTAAACACTACCAAATCAAAAAAATACCCCAAACACTAACAACAAAGTAACCAAATATTGTGCAGCGAACTGAAAACTTCTTCGTTCGTTATTGTGAGCCTAGGATTGTGAGACGGTATTCACGAACTTAAGTTGTGAAATGAACGTATCATGAAATTCCAACCAAGCTTCTACCGACTTGTGCGACGTTGTCAGACCGTCTGCCGAGAAAGCGCATTCAATTTTTTAAGATACCTATCTGCGGATACTATCGTTCGACGTACACATTCTATACCTTTACTCGTTCTTGTTTTCACAACTTTCTGTTAATTATTGTCGTTTGTTGTAAATTGGTTTACAATTATCCAATCACTTTTTTATGTCCACATTTATTTGTGTATACAGGGTGATTCTGACAAAATAAAGAACATAGGTAGATCCTCAACTAATTTTAAAATAAATATATTTTCGAAAACCATGGTTTTTATCAAGTTTTTGACAACCTAAATTTTGTCAATTTTTTAAAACACAAAATGTCGCAAACTGAAGAATTCCAATGAGGAGTTACTCTGTTTTCAGGATAAAGAAATCTTTTAATTTAAACAACTAAAAAATAATAATAATAATAATAATAATATTTATTGTCATCAAAAGAAATACATGACATGTCATGTATTTCTTTTCTCTATACAACTTGTAATCCTTATCTTTTGTGTGACATGCATGTCACACAAAAGATAAGGATTACAAGTTGTATAGAGAGCATTATATGTACAATGTATATGTATAGATAAAATAGTATATTTATATTTATATTTATAAATAGTAGTATTAAAGTGTATATAAATAGTATAAAAGGTAAGTAGAATATTAAACATAGAATCACAGTTAGAACAAAACAAATAATAAAATTAAAAGAACATTAGGTGTATAAATTATAATTTAAATCTATCACAGAAAATTATGACTTAAAAACTCTTCTAGGGTGTAGAAGGCTTCTTGAGTAAGTATATCTTTCACATGTTTAACGTAAAGATTCTGTTTTAATAACTTTATTTTTGCAGGTAACTTATTGTAAAGTTTTGGGCCCCAATAATCCACAAATTGTTGGGTAGAGGATTTGCAGTGGTAAGGAATTCTTAGCTCCAACTTGTTCCTTGTGCTTAAACCATGCTCTCCATTTTTAGGGAAGCTGGGTAGGTTGTTATGTACATGTTTTAGTGCTTCCAGGATATAAATCGAAGTTAGAGTGAGAATTTTGTGTTTTTTGAAAGCAGGTCTGCATGAATCTCTTGGTCCAAGATCATACATTACCCGTATAGCCTTTTTTGAGTTTTAAAGATACGTTCAGTGCTACTTGCTATTCCCTATATTAATTAATATATTAATATACTTATATTACTATAAATTCTATTTAAGCTTGATACTCCTTCGAAGGAGTAGATTAAGCATAACATTATAAATTTTGTAGCGTGTTTATAAATGACCAGAATATATTTGTTCTGATCATTTTAGTCCGTTGATCCGTTATCGAGTTATATAATTTTAAAGTTAATTTTTTTCTATTTAAATAGCAAATAAAAAATCGCGATGAGAAACCTCTAATATTAACAGCTGAAATGTAATTAATTTTTAATTTTATCTCTTTTAAATTTTTCGGACGCAGCCCACGGCTGTAGCCCATAAAGCCCATAACAAAATCCGCCCATGAGGCAGAGTTGTATTTATAAAAAAGCGTACAAGAATTAGAATGAGAGAAAATCAGGTGTATTATGTATCTCGAGATATAATATTTAATATTATATCTTGAGATACATATTATTATATTATATTTTTGCTTAAAACCGGCTAAAGTCATTATAATAATTATTATAGGTTATTAAAAATACAGAGCATTGACGTCGGGGATTAAAGAAATAAAATTTACAGATTTTGCATCTTGCGCAAGTTTCGTAGGCGTATTGAAAATAACTAAAAGGAGATCCAGCTATAGGTGTATCCACTAAATCCAGTAAATATAGGTATTTGTGACAAAATAATTATAATTTTTATTTTTAATGTTTACGAGGTGTGTTAAGAAAAAAACGGGAATTGTTAAATTTCGCGGGTTCGAAGGGTCCGGTTGTCATAAAAATTTTATTATGTTGGTATACATGCCCCCGAAGTATGATAAAAACTTTAGCTGTTTATATTGTTTACTTTGTCTGTGGCAGCCGCTAAGGTTAGACGTGTTTTATGAGCTCGGCGATTTTACGTTCGTTAAAAGAAATGGATCAAAGAATTTGTATCCAATTTTGCTTAAAAAATGAAATATATTCTGTGAAATGTTAACAAAGGCCTAGAGTGAGTCTGCTATAAGTAAAACCAGAGTTTACAAGTGGTATAAGAGTTTCCAAGATGGCCGTGAAGACGTTGAAGATGACGAAAGAATCGAACGCACAAGCACATTAACAACCGATAAAAACATGGAAAAAGTGGAAGAAATGGTTATAACCATCAGAGAAGTCGCTGATGATGTTGTTATATCCCATGAAATTTTTTCGAATGTTTGGGGTATGAAACGTGTGGCAGCAAAATTTGTTCTAAAATTGTTAAATTTTGAAAAAAAAATTTGGCCAAAAACAATACTGTAATAATGCCCCAGCCTCCATATTCGCCAGACATGCCTCTGTCTGACTTTTTCCTATTCCCAAAAATAAAGAGAACCTTTAAGGGCCGTCATTTTGCAAGCATAGATGACATTAAAAGCGCATCGCTGAAAGAACTAAAGGCTATCCCAAAGATCGAGTTTTAGAAGTGTTTCGAGTATTGGAAGAAGAGCTGGCACATGTGCATAATATCCAATGGGGACTATTTTGAAGGCGACAACATTAATGTAGACGAATAAATAAATATTTCTTTCAAAAAACAAAAATTAACGATATTTTCTGAACACACCTCGTATTAATGGGAAGTACCTACTCACATCATATTTAATTCACATAATATAATTAAAAATTATAAAATGATGTACAATATAATATATTACATTGATACCTACATAAAATATACGCTAAAGAACAACAAATGAGTGTTTTTGAGAATAAAGCCTGAAAATGTTAAAAATATCAAAAAAACAACCGTGGTACGATTTGTTGGGTTGTTGAGTGTTTTCGGAGAGGAAATCCTGGGTTAAGCTTTTACCGGTTTCCCAATAAACAGTGGAAATCCGAATGAAGAAATAAATTGCATACAGTCCCTGTAAATATAAATTGTACCTATTAGGTACATTAAATATACATTTTAGTAATAATTTACGTAAAAATTGTAAACATTTCAATTCAGTTAAAATCATAAAACAAAAAGTCGTCTAAATTTAAACAGCATTTATCATTATTAAAAGCATTGATTAAGAAAGTCTCCACTCAACAGTAAAATACCAAGAACCGGTATTATAGAAAATGTTAAAAATATCAAAAAAACAACCGTGGTACGATTTGTTGGGTTGTTGGGTGTTTTCGGAGAGGAAATCCTGGGTTAAGCTTTTACCGGTTTCCCAATAAACAGTGGAAATCCGAATGAAGAAATAAATTGCATACAGTCCCTGTAAATATAAATTGTACCTATTAGGTACATTAAATATACATTTTAGTAATAATTTACGTAAAAATTGTAAACATTTCAATTCAGTTAAAATCATAAAACAAAAAGTCGTCTAAATTTAAACAGCATTTATCATTATTAAAAGCATTGATTAAGAAAGTCTCCACTCAACAGTAAAATACCAAGAACCGGTATTATATTATGTATTATAATATTATGTTGTCATAAATTTGAAGGTATATTCCGTCGTTTAAACTGCAATTGTCGGCGTTTTTTATAGAACTCAAATATTAAAATATTCGATTTTAAAGTTACGTTTGTACTACAATTAATTTTTGTTAGATTTCTTAAAAATGTTCAAACTTAATTTAAGTTTGAACATTTTTAAGAAATCTAACAAAAATTAATTGTAGTACAAACGTAACTTTAAAAGTTACTTAAATATAAATTATACCTATTAGTTAAAGTTATCATTAGTTAATTCTGCACCAACAAATATACGTACCGAATTGGCAAAAAAAGAAAATGCAATATCCAATGGGGACTATTTTGAAGGCGACAACATTAATGTAGACGAATAAATAAATATTTGTTTCAAAAAACAAAAATTAACGATATTTTCTGAACACACCTCGTATTAATGGGAAGTACCTACTCACATCATATTTAATTCACATAATATAATTAAAAATTATAAAATGATGTACAATATAATATATTACATTGATACATAAAATATACGCTAAAGAACAACAAATGAGTGTTTTTGAGAATAAAGCCTGAAAATGTTAAAAATATCAAAAAAACAACCGTGGTACGATTTGTTGGGTTGTTGGGTGTTTTCGGAGAGGAAATCCTGGGTTAAGCTTTTACCGGTTTCCCAATAAACAGTGGAAAACCGAATGAAGAAATAAATTGCATACAGTCCCTGTAAATATAAATTGTACCTATTAGGTACATTAAATATACATTTTAGTAAAAATTTACGTAAAAATTGTAAACATTTTAATTCAGTTAAAATCATAAAACAAAAAGTCGTCTAAATTTAAACAGCATTTATCATTATTAAAAGCATTGATTAAGAAAGTCTCCACTCAACATTAAAATACCAACAACCGGTATTATATTATGTATTATAATATTATGTTGAAATAAATTTGAAGGTATATTCCGTCGTTTAAACTGCAGTTGTCGGCGTTTTTTATAGAACTCAAATATTAAAATATTCGATTTTAAAGTTACGTTTGTACTACAATTAATTTTTGTTAGATTTCTTAAAAATGTTAACTTAAATATAAATTATACCTATTAGTTAAAGTTATCATTAGTTAATTCTGCACCAACAAATATACGTACCGAATTGGCAAAAAAAGAAAATGCAACGAATTTTATTTACAATTAAAAATACTGTAACGTTTTTAACTGTTCGTAGTGTGAATTAAAACACGCACTGGTTAATTAACGAACTAAACTATTTATTTAATAACTTAACTACACTTAAAACACTATAAAACGAACTAAACACTTAACTACTAATTATTTATATATCACTATTGTTCAAGAGTCTATTTATTTGCACTTATATTTATTTATTTCGCCGCGAGTACCAAATCTTAACTAACTGCCGTGTGCTGCTCCGTTTCTTA